AGTGCTCTGCTGAGAATTACCATAATGAGATAATGTAAAAGAACAACTGGATGACTACACTCAACTAGCAGACCAGGAGGTGCTTCTCTATTGGTGATGTTTGAATTGAAGTATTAATGTTAAGAAAAGGCTAGTCATTTGAAATTCAGAAGGAGAGCTCAGAAAGGAAAAGAAACAGCTATTGCAAAAGGCTAAAAGGAATGAGCTTGGCCTGTTGAGAGACAGAATTAAGGCCAATGTGGCTGGGACAGTGTAAACCAGAGAGGAGTAAGTAGTAGAAGGTTTGACAGATAACTAGCCATGGCAAGTAACCTGGATTTTATTCTGTGTGTCAGGGGGAAGCTACTGGAGAGTTTAAGCAGGCCTGTGAGTCCAATTTCTATTCTAAAAGGATCACTCTGGCTACTTATTGAAGAGCAGTCCAGACGGGGACAAGACGGAAACTGGGAGCCCTATTAGAAGCTTACTGCCATGGATAAGGAAACAGAGGATGACAGCATGTGCTCTGATGGAGTTAACAAAGAAGAAAAATTGTGGGGGGTGGGAGGTGTGGAAGTTTTAGGATATGTTTTGGGGTAGAGACAAGCTTTGATAGATCAAATGTAAGGAGTGAAGGAAATAAACAAATGAATAAATTAGATATTCCTAGGCCTGCCTGTTTGTGAAACTGAATAGTTGGCGATTTAATTTACTGAGATAAGAAAGTTTGGAGGAAAAGCAGACTTGAGAATAATTCAGTAGTTGGGTCTCATTTACATTAGATGTCCATGAAATAAGTGAAGACTTCAAAAAGACAGCCAAGTATGTGAGCCTTGTGCTCTATCATCAAGTTTGAGTTCCTGGCAAAGAGATGGTTATAAAAGTCTAATGGTACAACCTGCTTATTTGTATCAATGTTCTTTAGAAGGGTAAACTTTGGAAGACTAAGAGTTCATAGACATAGGAGTACAATGATGTATATAAACAAGGGTTTATAAGCTATGAGTCTCTTTAAATAGATAACTGTTATTTTAGAGATGAGACTCTTACCACTGATAATTAGAATAATTTATTATCTATGAGAAATTTAAATACAGGTTGGTTTCAGATTGCCTGCCTATGAATGACAGCCTCCCCACTTACCAACTGAATAATATTGGGCAAATCACTTAACCATTTAGTACCTCATTATCCTTGCCCTAGAAAATAGGGATAACAATAGTTAACTACCTTATGGTGTACTTAAGAAGATTAAATGAGCTAGTACATGTAAAGCAATCAAAACAGTATCTGTCACATAGTAGGCACTCAAATGCAAGTTAGTATTATTATCTGCAGTCTCCCACACTATACACAGAAGTGTCTTCACACTTCAGTTTTCTAGATGCTTGGTAAGAGATGGCATTGAGAATTTAGAACGAACTAGGGAAGCATATAAAAAATCCTCCCAGAAGAAGTGGAGGCTAAGAGTTTTGCAGATTGCTAAAATCATCCTCTTTAAAAGTAAGCCATACGTTTGCCAGTCATTCCTAAATCTGTATCTCCAGCCCTGACCCAACCCTGGAGCTCCATACCTAGCTGCCTACTAGACACTTGACTTGGTAATTTAATAGACATGCTAGTGGAATTAAAAAGGGGAAACAATCAGTGTCCTCTTCAGTCAGTGAATGATCAAGTGATCATCTCCAACTGCAGAAACTCTTGACTCTGCTCCATAAGCCACGAAATCTATGCAGTGAATGACATTCTCTGTTTTCAGCTTCACACTGAGAGAGTCAAAAACAAGAAATCTCAGGCATTGTATCTGCTCATTTTAGCATTGTTTTGCAATCATGATTCTACTGCATGTATTGTTTACAACAAATCAGTTCAAATAATTTCTTAAGGTATGCAGAGAATAAGAAAATAGTGAAATAAGGTGAAATAAAATATTAGATGTCATTAAATGACTGACTCCTAGGCTTTGTTGCCTGAAGCAGACTGGACTGCACACTCCTCAACAGAGACAACTCTCAGCTGTCTTATCCTGGGCCATGACTCCATTCACTACTGATGATGTCACCAGTAGGGTAATCAGACATCTCAGGTAAACCAGGACAGTCCTAGCGAAATTCTAAACAGCATGGCCTTCCACTCTCAAGTGTCTAGATTGGATGACTAATTATATGTCTACTTATGTATATGATCACCAAGAGCTGTACAGCATCTTGCATGTATGCATGTGTTTATTCATTCAGCTAATTATCTACCAAACACTAACCAAATGCCGGGTCTCATGTTGGGCTCTAGTACAATTCAGGATTCTAATATAAAAGGACAGGTCTTGAAGAGCCATAAGATGCATGCAAAAGGGGTCATATGTTGATCAAGAGCTTCAGTAAGAGTCTCTGAGTTACATCCCACATGTAAGAAGACATGAGAACAGCAAAAACATAGTATATTCCTTAGACACAGGATACATTAGACAGGTGTTATATACAGTGTAAAACTAACAGATATTTGTTGAATAAATGACTTAAAATGCTCCATTGTATTGTGACCACAGGTAGGAACTGGGAGCAGGTGATAAGATGTTTATTTTTATAGGCAAGTAGCAAAATACACAATAGGAATAAAAGCATCACTACAACTATCTTTTCTGAGTTAAGGCACTATTTCTCCTTTGCCCTTCAAAACAAAACATGATTCACACATTTTAGGCTGATCTTTCCCTTTAATGTAGGAAGAATCAGCAAATGTGAATTGGTTCAACTGTGATTTCTTCTAAAAAAGAATGTTATACAGATTAGTTAGAGAAATTACCGGTAATCAGTAAAGCAGATCTCAAGGAAGCTTGCTTATATGCTCACTTTACCTAAAAATAGTTTAACAAAGCAAAGGCCTCTGACAAATTTAATGTTAGCGATTTTCAAAGCTTAGTCTTACAGCAAGAAGAAACCTAAGAAGTAAGGTGATCCTGTGGACGCCAACAGATTATCTTGATGGGGATCCTGGCAATTTAGATGAAGGAGGCCATAGCACTTTAAAGTTCTACTAGATTAAATGTTTCGAACTTTTGAACTTAAAAAGATAATCTCTAAGGACCCCTCATTTTTACTGATCAAGATACTGAGGCCCACAGAAGCCATGTAGTAACTGTGGGAAAAGTGTGATTTAGAAAGTCAGGCACACTTGACTAACCTCCTCCCAGACCTCTTCCTTGCTGTGTGTTAAGAATATTACTTTTCTCAGTTTCTCATCTATAGAAATGAAGATAACACTTAGCTTGTAAAGATGTTACAGATGAAATAAATTTGTATTTATGAAAACATCTACCACATAATAGATACTCAATACACACTGATTTCCCTCCTGCCAAAGGGAAACTAAGTTGAGAGACACAAAGCTGGTGAGGGACAGGAGACAGGACTAGAACTAAGAATCAGGATCCCCTTCACCACTCAAAAAAAAATTCATTTATTTCTTAAATGGCCTCTCTCCTTGAATCATACCATAAAATACAGAGTTTAATGCCTGAGTTATAGGGAGAGGGATAATTAAAGTAAATATGAGTCACCAAAGCCTACAAAGACAAACATATGTGCCCTTAAGTACAGAGATACATTTGTTAGAAACAAAGTTGCAAAAGGGTCAGGAAGTTTAATCAAGAAAGTATGACATTGGCTATCTTTTTAAAAATGACATTTAAGGGGTCAAATACGTGGTGGCAGAAAGAAATCTAACTATGGGAGGTGAACACACAATGTAAATATATATGACTTACTGGATTTTGTTAACCAATGTCACCAGAAAACAAATAAATAACTAAGGGAAGAAAAAGAAAATAGAAATTGTAGCCAATTTGAAAAAATAAAAGAAAATAAAAAGTAGTCATCAAAAAATAAAATAAATAAGTAAGTAAGTAAATAAAACAAAAATGACATCTGCTCAGCTTGTACCTGAAGGCTGCCCTTGTGGAAACAATGTTATAGTAGAACTGTGTTGTCTTTAATGACTATTTCACAACTCATATTTCAAGATTAATGTTTGCGGCAAATATTTATCAAGTGTCGATCATGTGCAAGACCCTTTGGACTATACAGACATGAATCAGACTTTGGCTTTGTCCTAAAAAACGCTAGTGGAGAAGAGAGGCAGACTTTGAAGAGTGAGAAAGAATATAATTGTATATTAAGCCTTATGGTACTTGAAAAGGAAAGTTCAAGGCCAGACCTATGGTGAGGGGTTACTTAATGCTATCTACTCAAAGGTAAAATGTCCACTACATTGACAGTGGGTACACATAGTAAACACTTTTGTGTTAACTGAATTCTAGTTTGTTACTGACACCAACTAGTTACGTGCACTTGTCAAATTACTTAAGTTACTTGACATCTTTAGGTCTCATGTTCCTCATCACTAAAATGGGTGTTTCAAATGGATGATGGCTATCTAAACCTCCTTTAGGCTGTAATAGTCCAAATTACATGATGATGATGACGAGGACAGCAAGAAAAATTATAGTTTATATTCACCACACACATTATGTGCCACACTGTGCTAAAGTGCATCATTTACATTATCTTTATTTAATCTTCACAACCTTATGAAATTAGTATTATTATTATCCCTATTTTACAGATGAGAGGCTGGGAAAGCGAAACAATATTAGAGGGCTGGTGTTGCGATTTGAACAGAACAGTCTGAACCTCATCCAAGAGTTATTCTTAACCACTAAGCCCAAACTGTCTTCACGAAAACTGTCTTATCCATTGAGAAATAAGGAAAACAAAAACAACTTGGAAAAGGGTCCTTCCCGACTAGCGGGCATGTCTGAATGAACGTCATACTTGTCTGTTTCACGTGTTAGTAAGTCTCTAGCGCCGCCTCCCCGGCGATGCTCGCGCACTCCTACACCAGTGCGCACCACAGCTGGACTGAACGGGTGACCCGCAGAGGCGGGCCGTGGCTGAGGCGCACGGAAGGGCTAGGGGCGGGGGGAAGGCGGGGAGGCCCCGCAGGAGCGCGCGCAGAGCGTGTACCTGAGCTGCTGGCTGCTCTTGCCGGCTGGTTCTCCCACCAGTCATCTCCAAGATCGTCTGCCATCACCACGCAAGACTCGACGTGGGCGGACCGCTAAGGAAAAGACGACCGTGGCCGGGACTCGCGCTGTCTCAGCCCGGGGTGGGACTTGCAGCACGCGGAGCCTCTCGTCGGACAGCGTCGCCTCCGCCCCGCAGCGCTGGCGTCAGAACTTCCGCCCCGCCTCCCCGGCAGCCGCGCGCAGCTCATCGCAGTTTCCACACTTGTGCTGCTGGGCAGGCTCGGTATGGAGACTCAAACTAAATCTTCACGAAAGCACAAAGTCAGGAAGTCACATAAGCAAGCAAACAAACAAGATTATTATCTTTTTAAATAAGTTATTTTAAAACTTCACGTTTAGGTTTTATTTCTGCCGAAAGATATTGTCGAAAATGTGAAACAGGATGCTAAGACAATTTTTCTCCGTTCAGTTTCAAAGTACTAGAGCCGCGGGACAAGACCCGAGCACGTGGGAGAGTTTTCGTTTGTGTATCAGTGTTTGGGCGTCCTTGGGTTTGTACAGTTTGCTCTTATAAAACGTGCACAAGAGCTCATGGCCCTGAGTAGGCCTCTACTGCTCTTTTTATACGATACGAAGCAGACGTGGAATATTTAATTCTAGACTCTCCGGGCAACTTGGGTCCAAAAAGAATTAAATATTCCACGCCCGCTTCGGTTGTGTTCTCCCATTCCACTCCCGGTTTTGTGAAACAAGAGAAGAGAGCCCACTGCTGTCTGACTATAGGTAAGAGAGCTGCAGTGCTTCTTGTCTTCCCAAGGAGAAGTGGCAAAGATAGGCAAGGATGGCGCCAGGGGCTGGGCCCGACTGTAAAGTAAGTGTGGACGTTATTATTAGGACAATCTTGGTCCACAGTGGCAAAAAACGAAAAAGTCATAGGAAAAAAAAGTGTTAAATACACGATGTACCTGGCACTATGCCTGGAGTAGTGATTTAAAGATGTGTAGGATGTGAGTCAGCCTTCCAGATGTCTCCAACTTTTAGTCAAGTCTAAACTGGTAGGGTATATCCTCAGAAATGACAAAGACCTCTGAAGAGGATGTGAAAAATTACCCCAAACTCACTCTCTCGCCTTTTTAGGGATTGGAATTGCATCTTTTATTTACTACTGTGGCTCCAGGACAAGGATAGTACCTGGCCAGAGAAGACCCTGAAAATATATTGACTGCCTAACTGAATTTGAACCCCCTTTATTCTGATTGTTTACTCACCCAACAGCCTTCTGAAAATTCAGTTTGTTTCCCAAATCAGCTTGCTTTCTGGCAACAGATGTCAAGGGTCAGAAAACTAAGGCCCCTGGCCAAATGCTACCCATGGCCTCTTTTGTCATGTGAGCCAAGAATAATTTTACATTTTCAAAGTATTGTAAAAAAGAAAAAAGAAAAATAACCAAAGCCAAAAAGAAAAAAAAAAAAAAAAGGGCAACAGAGATTGTATGTGGCCCTCATGTATTTACTATATGGTCCTTTACAGAAAAAATTTGCTGACCTCAGATTATATTGACTAGCTAACCTAATTGTACATTCGTTTAACTATTCTATTTATCATTGAATTGACGTCCTAGTTTATAAATCAGTCCGTTGTAAAATCCTGCACCCGAGTATCTGATCACCTTTCTAACATGCAGATACTCAGGCTGCGACAGGTTCTTATCTGCTCCCTCTTCCTATATAGTATCTGAATGAGTGTTGTGAGAGTTTAGAGGAGGAAGCATTTATTTCCAGTGGGGTGAACTGAGATGCTTTCATAAACGAGATGGTACTTGAACCTGACCTTGATAATGGATTTTGATTGGGGTGTTTTGGACAATTGGCATGTTTGGATGACTCCTGACATTTCTTCCAAATCCATGCCCTAATCTTGAACATCAGACCAAGAATTCTGGATATTACTCTTCATTATATACAAAGGATATGATGGAAGTTTTGTTTTAGAAAAGCTAAATTGGTGTTACTGTGCAGGGTAGATAATAAATTTGACTAGAATTTTCAGGTGTGCTGAGATACTGACTCCCTCACTCTCTGGAGCAGGCAGAGTCCCCGGGCCCATTGCTTCATGTTGAGGGTAGCCTCATCTCTTCACTCCAGTGTTGTACAAATATTGCCATTTTCTGTGGATACTATGATGCAAAAGATTGGGAAGGACTGGATTAGAGGGAGGGAAAAAAATTTGAAGGCTGTTTTGTGAAGGCTCACCATACAATGAAAAGAGCTTAATGAGGGCAGGGGTTCTTAGTCCATGAACACAGTCTATAAATGTACTTCAGGAAGTCCATAAACCCCTGGTAATATATTCAGAGTTTTGCATCAGAAGGGCAATGATAATAACAATAACAGGAACAAAATTTTCCAGGTACCTCTTGAAGCACTTCATATCTTAATTCTAATCATCATAACTTCATGAGGCAATGTGCTGAATTGGATGTTTTCCATTTAACACTCTCAATTTTTCTGTGCCCTAGAAGGCTGGTGTAAATGTACCTGAGCTTTGGTTTCAGAATTGAGTTCAGCAAATTGGAGGCATCAGTAAGAAATCAAAGAGTGAGAGAAAAGCGACACCCAATGTGTTCTCTTCTTAAGGCTGAGACTAGGGTGAGGTAAGCAGAGGCCTAGGGTGCAAAATTTAAGGAGGCACTCACTCTTGGGCTGGCACTTACACAAACTTGAGAGTGCATGCCTCCTTAAATGTTGTGCTGGAGGTGCCTGCTTGCCTCACCCTAGTCCTCGCCCTCATCCCTCTAGGCCACAGGCCTTTGCTCTATTACTAGCCCTGGGGTACTGCACCATCCCTTACACTACCACATCTTCATAGTCTGTTTACTAAATTCTTTTCAATTATCCAGTTTAAGGTGGTTATTTTTTTCCCTGCAAGGACCCTAACTGATACAGCCACTGCCTTAGTTTGGGTTCCCCTAAAAGGAGAACCTATGACAAGGGATGATGCAGGCAGTTTTTTGAGGAGGCATTGGGGGAGGCAAGGAACAGGAATAAAGGTAGGGAGAATAAGACAAGAAAAGAGGGATGAATATTAAACTGGTTATTGGTATAGGCAATAACTAGCTTTTTATTCTGCTGGAAACCCTCTAAGAAATGATGTAGACAAAGCCTGAGAATTATCCTCAGGAAGAAGGAGGCTGGGGCATTCATCCACTGACTGCCAGGGTCATCATTGTTTCCTGGAGCTCAGGGGCCCTGGACCCCTGGGACCTGTTGTCCTGGGTCCGTCTTGACATCTGCATTCCTCATGTCAGCTCCACACCTGGGTCTCTGGACTCCAGGACCCACCTCTCCTTCTTCTCTATTTCCTTAGAATCAGTCAGTGGCCATGTTGTCTTTGGGGGCCCAGCCTGCACTGAGAAGCAGGACATCTGGAGACTTGAAGGCTGTAGCGATGGGGGAAGGGGAGAGGCCTCCATGCCTCCTTTCTTCTTCCCTCCCTCAGTGCCTAGCAGAAAGTTCCCAATAAATGGTCAGAACAACGACAAAAAAGTGATGTGGACAACTGTAAACTTAAATGGTTGAGAATTGTCCGAAGGGATTTGGATTTCCAGCTATTCCTAGGCTATGCTGCAGTGGGAGAAAGCCCTGAGGCAGAAGAGCAGAGCTACTCACCTCAGCCTGCTCGAGGTGGGATGCTAGCAGCTGACAGAAATTGCTTCCATGCTGGACTGATTCCAAAGTGGACTGAGGGGTAAAAAAGCATCTGCTCCAGGTTTGTACTATTATTCTCTCTATTTTATAGGTGGTGAAACTAAGGCACAGGGAAGTAACTGGCTATAGTCACCCATCTGGTAGGTGGTTTCCTATCTGCCCATGGTTTTCACAACACTCCCTTTTCATTGTATGGCAAGCCTCACAAAGTGGTCTGTGACCCAAAAATGATCCACACCCATATGACATTGTTCAGGAGACCCTTATTTTCTGCAACGAAAGGCTATATACTGTACTTTCAGTTCAGCCCAGAATTTTATCAAAAGGGTGGCAGAGCTATAGAGATCGAATGCACAGACATGCTTCTTGTGCTAAAGCCAAGTCTTAAAAGGGAAGAAACTGTGAGACTGAGATGGGGACATTTGGATAGATGTGCCTGAGTTCCCTGAACCCCCAGATTCCTGAGCCTTCTGGCCTGACAGAACGGTTCCTTCTCTCTTGCTCGAGGAAAGCAGACTCCCATTACTTGGAGACCATTCAAGGCCTCACCTTAGTCAGTTGCCTCACAGGATATTTACGCTCTCCTCTCCCCTTGTTGCTTCTTCACCAATAACTAGGAGTAGATCTCAGTATAGACAGTGTGGAAAGTACAGTCCCTACTATAGAAGATAATTATTTATTCACAAGAAAAGCCACATATATATACAGAAACCAAAAATTTCATAAGATAATGGATCTTGAGAGTAGTAGACCAGCAATGTGTAAAGCCGGATAGGAGAGGTTGTTGATATAGGGACACTCCCCAGTGGCTGGTGATTTAATGTCCAGCAAGTCTTGTGAGGACAGCAACAGGAAGCTTGGACACAATGGTAATCTCCAGTAGGTGAAATGAGGATATCAGAACTGTCGGGGCGAATTATTAAGGAAGGGTCAGGAGGCTCAGAGGATTGAACTTTTTAGAGTGGATTTATGTGAGACCAGAGAACTTGCCAGCTGACTGTGATCTGTGGGAGGGCCCAGAGGGTAATCCTTTCACTAAAGCGATAAGATTGTAGTAGTGAGTAGGTATTGACTTAGTTGAAGGGCTCATTGGTGACTGTCCTGTGTAGCCCAGAGATGGCAGTAGGAGATGCCCTAGGATCAATGAATATGATAGAATTCCAGAATAGCAAAAGCAGTTTGCAACACTTAACCATCAGAAGCAAAGAGAATGTAATTACCAGGCAGGGATCATTGACATGTAGGGGATCTGTGGTGTTCCACAGACCATGGTGTTTCTAGGGGTAAGATAGAGCGGAAGCTAAGGAGGGTATTGACTGATTTACATAACAATAGAAACAACACAAACAAGAACTGTTAAGCAGGTGTCAAATGCCAAATGGAAAAGCATGATCTCTGGACCCATTTGCTGATATGAGTTCTCAAACCCAGAGCCATAACTTAAAGGGAATATGGGTTCCCCTGAGGGAGTTCTCTGCAACACCACCAGTATATACAGTACATACTTATACCTCTCTGTCAGAACCAAGGCCATTTTTTTAGAGTTGTTGTACATTGGGGAAATGGAAGATGTCTTACTCTTTTAAGGTTGTTGGACATAGGGTGATCTACATTAATGCAGGAAATTCGAGCTGCCACCATAACTTCCCATTAGAGTGGAGCATACAGGGATCGGGTGATAGAGTCCTGGCCCAAATCTGTTAGCTCCAACGGATCCATCAATTTATGGTCATTCCTTCAGTCGCTGAGGGCATAATTGAGATGGACATACTTAGCAGCTGGTAGAACCATCACGTTGATCCTCTGACCTATAAAGTAAGAATGATTAGGGTAGGGAGGGCCAAATGGAAGCCCCTAAAACTGCCTCCTCCGCTCTACTCCATGGCAAAGATGGTAAATCATAAACACAATCTCACTCCAGTGGAGTTGTAGAGATTAACATCAACCTAAAAGACTTGAAGGCTGCAGATGGTTTGGTTTACCAATATGGTCCCTCCAAAACCAGATAGACCATGGCAAATGATGTGGACAACTGTAAACTTAAATGGAATCATCAATCATAGAGGCTGTAGCAGATGTTGTATCTTTGATTGAACCAATCAACACAGCCTCTAACACTTGCTGTGTGATTTTGATCTGGCAAATGTGTGCTATTTATATTTAATTTCTATCAGGAAAAGAAGATTAAAATCAGTTTGCATACACTTGGGAAGATTCAGTTCATATTCACTCAAAGCTGTGAATGCTTTCCTATGAACATTCTCAGGGCTGGTTAACTCTCCTGCTCCTTGTCATGATACAGTTCAAAAGAACTTTGATTATCTGACTCTTCTTCAAAACATCATACTGATCTATTTTATTGATTGCATAGTATTAATTGGATCTGGGAAGCAGGAAATGGCAAGGGCTCTTGGTGCCCTAGTAAAATACATGCATGCCAAAGGGTGAAAGATAAATTATCAATGTTCAGGGACCTGCAATGATGATTATATTTTTAGGAGTTTAGATATCTGAGGAGTGCCTGTGTATCCCCTTTAAGGTAAAGGAAAAGTTATTGCATTTTTCAGCTCCCACCACTAAGAAATTGAGAAAGTATTTGGTGCACCTCTTTGGACTGTGCAGTATGCCATACTTGGAAATACTTCTCTGACCGGTTATCATGTGAGTCAAAAGACTGCCAGTTTTGAGTGGGGTCAAGAGAAGAGTGGGCTTGGCAGCATGTCCCAGATGTGATACAAGCTGCTTTTCCGCTCACTTCATAATAATGTCATAGATCCCAAGATGCCAGGTGGTAGGTAATGATGCTGGGTGGAATCTGGCAGCAGAATTGTAGCATAAATTCCCAGGTTTCCTGGGTAGGCCAGGCTTTCCACAGCTAAACCATTCAGAAAGCACCTACCAGCATGATAATGAGCTCCAGCAGAAACTGATCATTTGACTAGGGAACATCAAATGATTATATGACCAGAGCTCCCCCTCAGGATGTGGATTTTGTAAGGTCAGGTGTGTACAGCAAGAGTCCACTGAACAATTGAAATGGTGCCCATGAGATCACATCTAAACAGGTCCAGAAGTTGTCAAGTTGAACAGATGACCCAGATCTCCATGTCTGTTGTATTTCTCAGCTCACACCTATGGCTTGAGGTGTTCTCTATGACCAGCTGATGACAGAGGAAAATGCTCAAGACTCAAGACTAGTTCAGGCTTGGTATGTTGGTAGAGCTGAAAATGGACTGCTATTGCATTACAGTCCCACAAGGGAGGGGCCCTATAGGACAGTGGTGAGGAGAATCCTCCCAGTTGGCAGAGCTTCAAAACATACATTTAGTCATCACCTTTAAATGGAGAGAGAAGTAGTCTGAGATATATAAAAGCATAGTCTTGAGCAATAGTGAATGGTGTGTCTGAGTGGGTCAAGGGCCTGTAAGATATAATAGCAAATCTGGGAAGAGGCATGTGGCAGGACCTAAGAGATGGGGCAAAGGTATGTGGATCTTCTGTCCCAATTCTAGATCCACTAGAGATCATCTACCACAGATGAGGCATTGAACAACCAGATGGACATATGGCAGACTGTGTTTTCCAAAGGTGGTCACCAGTATAGCCTATCCTTCATATTTTTTTTATAATGTGACCTTGGCACTCCTCTCGTTGTATGATGAAGTCTACGTTCTTTCTTCTTGAACCTGGGCAAAGCTTTATCACCTCAACCAATAGAATATGGTAGAAAAGACGTTCTGTGAATTCTGAGGCTAGATCTTAAAAATTCAGTGCATTTCCACTTGCTACCTCGGGGTTATCACTTGGAGCCTGGGCATCATGCCTTTGAGTACCCCACACAGAGGAATGACATGGAAAGAACATATGTAGGTGTTCCGGCCCACAGCCCAGCTGAGGTGTCTGCTGACAACCGGCATCAACAGCTAGTTCTGTAATTGAAGACACCTCCAGATGATTCTAGCCCCCAATTGTTGATTCACCCCCAACTGTGGTCTCAGATATCTTGGAGTAGAGAGAAACCGTCTCCACTATGCCCTATCCGAATTCCTGACCTGCTGAATTTCATGTAAGAAAAAACCTGCTTGTGGAACTGCCGTTTCTCCTCTGGCCGTGAGAGGGAGCACTTGTTCCGTAGGGACATGCCAGTTGCTAAAACCATGCTCACTCCCATTCTAACTAAGGCTGGTGCTCTGCCTAGAGTGGCAATGAATTTTCCCCCTCTCCTCTCAGGGCCTGGTGAGGTCAGGGGCCTGAAGTAAAACTTACTTTTTTAATTCTATTTTTAATTTTTTGAGGAACCACCATAGTGTTTTTCATAGTGGTTGCCCAATTTTAGATTTCCACCAGCAGAACACAAGGGTTCCAATTTCTCCATATCCTTGCTAACACTTATTTTCTGCATTTTTTTTTAAATAGTAATCATCGTAATGGGTGTGAGGGGGCCCTTATAGTTTTTAAAGTCATATACATCTGCCTTCATATTTCCTAAGGGATAGGAGTATCATCATATCTGTCAATAGGGTCTTCTGGTAGCTGGCTGTTTCTATTGTCTCTGGTAAGGACAATAACTAAATAACTGAGAACTTGGTCACCGCTCTCTCTTTTGAGGCAAGCTAGTATTCTGAACCCTCATTGACAGCTGTTTGCTTTTTATAGACAGCCAAGAAATTTTACCTCCTACCTTGAAGCAATATGGTGTAATAGCTCAAAGCGTGGACTATGAAGCCAGAGTCTGGCATTGTCATTTATTAAATCTTGGAAAAGTTACTTAGTTTCTTCAGCTTATAAGAGAGTTATGAGGAGTAATAAGTGAATACATAAAAACACTTAAAGCAATTTCTGGTGCATGGTTGACAGTAGATGGTAGTAATTGTTATCACTTCATCCCATACCCAACTATACCATCCACACTTCCAACTGCTATAGAAGGTAGGTAGTTCCTATGATCACTTACTATTTTACAGGTGTGAAGCTGAAGTTTAGAGAGGTTAAGTAATTGACTCAAGCTGACACAGCTCGTAAATAGAGGCAGTAAGATTTGTTTTCTGAGTCTGACCCCAGAGCCTTCTCCTAACATGACTCTGGTTTGGCAGAACAAATGACATTGACGGAATTGTCTTTGGCGAGGAAAGGCAACTATTATTAGTAGTAGGCAACTGGAGACTGGTCATTGTTCCATTAACTTTCCCTATTGTGTCTCTCATCCCAGGAATGGAGAGCAGATGTGAACATTGCTGCCAGCCACTCACTTGTCAGATGAGAACTGAGTTGACCATGCTCATTACAAAATTAATTTTTAGGTCTTGGTGGATTTAACAAGGAATGTGAAATGTAAGTCTCCACAGAATTTATAAACTTTAATTTAGAAGTGCTTTTGATTCTAATAAAAATCTATTTTTACTTGCAGTTAGATAGCAAAGAAAAAAAATCTCTGTAAAGGTTCCGGATGCCTCAAAGGAAAATTTGATTAGATGATCCTATGTTTCAGTAACACACATGAGAAACTTCTGAACAACTTGTTAAAATCGGATGTTGTGCCCCACTTTTGATTTAAATTCCATTACACTTTTCTCCAGGAATTAGCAAAAAAAATTCTAATAATAAAAATTGTTAGCCGCTATTGTACATCATAAGGAATAACTTGTTTGAGTTTATTCTGACACAAATATTAGTTACAAAAATGAAAGAAAATATCAGAAATTCTGATTAACTCTGTTAAAAAAAAAAAAAAGATAATCCTAAGGCTTACCTCATAGATATTTTTTTTCTTCATGATATAGAATGAGCATGAAGATATGCATTTTTAGTTACAAGGACTATTAAGGAGAAAAACATTCCTGAAATATAGTAAAAAAAAAAAATTGATTTACACTCTATTGGCCCTGTGTATTCAGAATTAATTATAATTCTATATGGATTGGGATGACATTTACCTTCTCTGTATCTATGATGAAAGGATTTATTAATTAAACTCATGCAGTAGTAAAGGAGGAAAATTTAAAGCAGTTTAATGATTTTTGTCTGCAAATAGTGCTACTAATTTCATGCCCGTCTTTTTTCTCCCTCTTATTACAGAGACTACTGGTCTCTCTCAGGGCTCATGACTCCACCTGTGGTCTTCTTACCAAATGCTCATCTGGAGCACAGGCACCTCCCACCGTCAGGTCAAATCCTACAAGGCTCTACATAAACTGAGTGTCTTCTCCTTTCCCTGCCTGGAGCAGGCCTTACTGGTAGGCTACCCATGTCTGTCAGTGGTACCAGCCCTGTCTTCCAAGAGTATCAGTGTGAAGAAACCACCTGCACATCAAGCTTCCTTCTCTCTCAGAAGGCCAGTCTGGGATTGTCCCCGAGTTCATTTCAGTCTTGCAACTCTCTCTTCAGTTATCCATTCTTCATTCCATTTCCTAGCCCTTGAAACAGCTCCACTGTTTTGCAGTCCTTAAACCCTGACATCTGGCCGGACATCTGATTCTCACTCTCGAAGCTTGGTTGGGGCCCTTCAGCAACAACCCCTCATCCTATTCCTGGAGTGTACTTGTTCAGATCTCCTCATTGGTTTTACTACTTGTATCTTACCTTCTCCAAGGAATCATCAAATTAATTTTTTCTAAAATACTTTCTTACCATTTTCCTTCTTAAGAATCTATAATGTCTTATTGCATATTAGTTAAAATACAAATGTCTCTTCTCTATATGTAAACCCTGCATCACTTGACCCTCCTTTGGTCATTAAATCAGTAAATCGGTTTCATTTACTAGTCCCTGAGTAGATCAGAAGATCTAATTAGGCCATTTCTCTTATCTCAGCCTCCCCACCCCGGGACACACAAAGAGTTTCCTTCTCTCTGTCTATTAGAGGAGATGCTATTTCTTTGGGGATGCCCTGTGTTCCATCGATCTAAATTCTGTCAAATTAAAGATGATTTCTTTAAAAATCATCTCCGAAAAAACCATCTGAGACTAAGTTTATTCCCACAGTGAGGTTCTAAATAATCTTTGAATATATAATATTCTGTATATTCTTGGAATCCCAGAGCTGGATTCATTCACACTTCACATCAAGTTTAGCACTGCCTCCCACAGCTACCTTGAGAGATTCATTCTTCCCTCAAACCTGGTACTGGACAGGTTGTGGTACAAAGATGAAACAACAACGTGTCTGTTCTCAAGAAGCTTATACTCTCTCTAGTAGAGGAGACAGACACAGTTCATTACAAAGCAGGAAAGGTGAAGGGACAGAAGACTGTACAAGGCAGGGTGGTGACACCGGGGAGAAAGTTATTAAATCTGAGCAATAGGGGAGAGGAGTGATGCTTGTGCTGTGCCTTGAGGGGTGAGGAGGAATCATGCAGATGACAAGTCAGAGAAAGCATTCCCAGGGATGGAGTGCAGGGAGTGATCTTTTTCTTAATTTGTCTAGCACGGACACATCAGTTGGCACCATGCCACCCTGCACTTGTTTGTACATCACTTGGAAATCAATGTCGTGTTTAACAAACATCTTGATAGCTTCCAAACAGAAGATACATACTTTTAGAGGAAAAAAAGGTCATGTTTTCCATTGCTTTTGTATTCCTCACATTTTTTATAATATCAGGTGCAAAGGAGCTATTTTATGTTTTGTTTTAATGTAAAGGGATACTATAGACCCATTGCAATGATGGATTTGCCCCACTTGTTCAGCATTCTGAATATCAACCATTTATTTCTTCCCGCCCCAGTCTCTGGTATTTATCCTGCCATTTATTTCTATGACCAACACTGCACACAAGATGACTGGTCCATATTATGAAAGAGTCTTTGGCTATAGAGTGAAATAGAACCGATTGGGCCATATGGGAATGTAAGCTGTGGTCTTGGGCTTCCAGATTGAATGTTTAAACAAGTGAGTTAACCAGCCACAGGCTGGTTCTGCATACTTGCTTGTTGAATGATTTGAATAATCTCTTTATAATATTCTAGACATGATAAGTTATGATCATTCTGAGCTTGACAAGTCATCGCAAAAGATTTCTTTCCTTTTCAGTGATGCTTGTTAAGACTCTTAAGATCTTGAAACAGGTCTGCTTCTGCTTTGTAGCTCTACTCACCACCATCTCCCCTGCAAATATTTGGTTCTAGTATGGCAAAATGAAATAAAATCGAGTATTTGAAGGCTGTGGGAGGAGAAAGGTCTGTGGCAGTTTTTTCTTTTATGATAGATGTGACAGATGCAGCAGCTATTTGTCCCCTAATATCTGTTCTCGCTTCTTCCATATTAGTAGAACCCTGATTTTTAACTGAGTATGTGGTTATCCTGAATTAATATTCAATTTTCCACACGCTCTTGCAGCTTATTGTGGCAATGTGACTAAATGAAGAGAAATGGGATGTGGGAGGGAGTAATATAAGCAACTGCTCGATTGAGTCCTTTAAGAAAGGAGCATGCTCTCCCTTCCTGATTCTTTCACTCTTCCACTGACTGAAATGTGGTTGTGATGGTTAGCTAACCTGGACTTTGGAGATGAAGGCAGCACCTTTGGTTAAAAGAGTATAAAGATATAGTAGTCCTCCTTTTATGTGTGGGATAAGTTCTAAGACCTGTAGGGGATGCCCGAAACCACAGATAGTGCTGAACCTTACATATACTATGTTTTTTTCCTATATATGCATACTTAAGATAATGCTTAATTTATAAATTAGGTACAGTAAGAGATTAACAATAACTAATAATAAAATAGAACAATTATTACAATATTCTATAATAAAGTTATGTGCAGGTGATCTCTCTCTCTCTCTCTTTCTGATAACTGATCTGATAAGAGAGATGGCTACTAAGTGACTAAAATGTAGGTAGAATATACAGTGTGATTGAATATGCTGGACAAAAGGATGATCCAAGTCCTGGGCGGGACAGAGTGGGTGGCCTTAGATTTCATCATGCTACTCAGAATTCTCTGCAATTTAAAACTTATGAATTGTTTATTTTGGGGATTTTCCATTTGATATTTTTGGACTGCTGTTGACTTCAGGTAACTGAAAATACAGAAAGTAAAACTTCGGATAAGGGGGGACTACTGTAGAAGGAACCTGGGCCCTTGACTGCAGCTACCACATGACTCGTAGACTACTTATGCTCAGAGCTGTTATGTCAGAGAGAAATAATTGTCCTGTTTAAACTATGATTGTTTTAGGTCTCCATTTCAGCTGCTAATTAATACATTGGGAATAAAAACGTTATGAGGTTCAAACTGTCAGCTGAGTGACATGAACAAGATGAGAAACATTCTTTTAAAGATATTTAATAAGACTTTTTTTTCAAATCAGTACAAAAATTTAAATACAAAAATGATTTGCTATTGACAAGTCTCAAATCTATCATGGAAACTCGAAAAAGTTACCAGTCTGTTCACCGTTCATGGTATTCTGTAAAATATTTGAGAATAGTCACCCACTATAAACATTCTTTTCCCCTGTAGGATGTCATACTGCTTAAAACTCTGTATTTAAATAACAATAATGCCAGTTGGGTCCATTTCACATGGAAAAGTTCTAGTTAATTTTGAATAAAATAGGGATTATAGCACCATCCCTAGAGTTTAGACCGCTTGATTTTTTCACCTGCTTTTATACTAGTGTGTTAACATGATGTGCAACACTCAAAAGAGAAACACAGACACATAGATAATTATTTAAAACTCTTTTTTTAAATTAAATGGAGTAATTCATTTAGCTCTGAGATTAGCACCATTGTAGAATACACAGTATCTGGCATAGATTTTGCTCCTCCCCTATCTACAAGTTAGAAGCATATGCCTGATAATACACACAAACACACACATACACACATACGTACATACACATATAGGCAATTGAGTAACAACCAATAAATAAGTTGGAAGATATTTGAAAAGTAAAATTTGGTTTTAACTAAATAGGTACTTTCTCTCTTACTTGGTGGAAATAAAAAGCCCATACATGTACAGATAAATACAGTTTTACAAATCAGCTTGATCTGACTTGCTTCCAAACCATTTCAATGCAGCCGTTCAGCAGAAGGAGCTCAATGCATCCACATTGCCCCCATCGTCATCGGCACCAAACCAGCACTCTCAAGACCAACCCGAAGGATGCTTGGCCACATACATGCTGTCTGCTTTGAAAATGAAAGCTGGGTGCGACATTTTTTGATGGGAAAATTTTATCATATAATTAGCAGTGAATAAGAAACCCTATGGTAATGAACTCATTTCTGTTTTTAAGAAATTGAGAAAAAATAATATACCATATCAGAGAAAAGACATATTAGTTTGAAGAGAATTTTCTTGATGGTTAAAATGATTCAGATTTGACATAGACACATTTCCATGTGTTTATACCGTATTTATTCGTGTAATTTCCCATCTGTAACTATCCCCTCAACTCCTCTTAATTTTGAGGAAAAAATACAAGATTCCGCCACCCAAAGCCCACATTCTTTCCTCCAGTGACTAACAGTGTCAGCAGTAGACTCATAGTTGACTTGAAATGCTTCGTCTGTGTTTTGAGACCATATTTGTATCCTGAAGCCATTAGTATGTACCTAAGTGAAAACATGGAAAAATATTTATTTTTCCTTTTAAACTTGTATTTACTCTGACCACGTGCTGAGTATGGGGCGACATAAAAAGCATGAAATGACATTCTAGGTAGCTCTTCCACAGATTGCTTCTAAAGAAATAGTTCTTTTCCTACAATTTTAGTACCTACATCAGGAAGCAGTACAGTCATTTTTCAATTTAAAATTTTAGAAATTACTTTTTCAAGAAAAAATTATTTTCCTTTGTAATTCTGAAAATCCCCCCCCACCCCAAAATAAATGAAAGCTTGAATTTGGGGATTGACTTTGGAATCTCAGACGACACAATGATTTGCATGTGCACTACACAGGGAAATTTCCTAGAAATTCAACGGTTACTGAAAAATATTGATAGCCTCTTCATGGATGAAACCTCATTGTGGAGATATGTGTGTGTAGTCAAAGGAGGGGGATTTTTATATGCATTTAAACAAAATTAATAACTGCTATTGATAATGAGTATTCCACCAAACTGGAAAGTTATGGGGGGAGAGGGTTATTCTTTTTTCTTATGACTTCCAGGTATTTATATTAGTTGGGCTATAGTGGGAAATTATACAGCGAGAAGAAAAAAGAAAACAAAAATCAGAAAACAAACAAGCAAACATACAAACAAACAAAAAGAACCTTTGAAGAATAAATGAGTTAATTACTACTCATATCTCCGAGATGGTGTGTTAGCTCTATGCGGGGCACTGTCTTAAGCCCCACAAAAGTGTCTCACCTAGTGCTAGGCACAGAGAAACATACAAACAAACATACAAACAAACAAAAAGAACCTTTGAAGAATAAATGAGTTAATTACTGCTCATATCTCCCAGATGGTGTGTTAGCTCTATGCGGGGCACTGTCTTAAGCCCCACAAAAGTGTCTCACCTAATGCTAAGCACTGGGTAAATATACAGCTGTCAATTGGTTCGCTTGTTCTTCTAGAGACACTAGATACACAATTCTGAGTAGGACTCCTGTTGCTAAAAGACACAGTCCCTGTCGGGAGAGAAATAGCCTTTGCACTAAAGCCCTACCATGGCCCCCTCACCGCCTCCCACCAGGGCAGTAACACTGCAGAACTCCTCCCCCACATTCCATGGCCAAATATCTGCACAAATACAGAGGAAATTATGCAAGTAAATACGGTATATAATTGTTATCATTGACATTTCTTTAAGCCATATTTATAAATATTTTAAAGTAACAATATGAGTGAGTGACTTTCATTAGCTATGATCTTCTTTCATACTGAAATTTTTTGACTGATCTGAATAAGCAGGTTATCATGGAAGCACATAACATACAACAGCTAATATGATTCCAGTGGGTATAACACAAGTGTCAGTACTTGATACATAAATCTATCCCATCATTTTCAATTACAAGCTGCTGTGCAGAGCATACAACATGCATCTTAGTTTTTATTTGTACATGATGGTTCGAATGTTCACTTAAATATAACTTTCCAACTATATAAATGTTTTGAAGCAATTACGCTTTTCATTCGAATTTTTTGGTGCATCATTTTCTTCTATAAAATCTCTCTTTTGTTTCCTTTGTTTTACATGGGATACAATAAATATCCTGAAAAGGAGGAGTGGACGTACTGTCCCGCGTAGAGCCCCGCAGCCTGTTCTGAGGGCATCTGGAGGAACACTCTGTCTCCGGGCCTGAGCAGCAGCACTGCGCTCCCTGACGCCTGGTCCAGGAAGCCTTTTTTGTACTCGTCGTACGTGTACATCATGGGCTCGTTGTTCTTGAACAGAGCAACCCACACGTTGCCTCCCTTGCAGTGAACGTGGTACACAAAGTAGTAGACCCCCGGGACCTCGCAGGTGAAGATGCCGGTCTGAGGGTTGTAGTTTTGTCTGCCGTTATAGAGCAGTTTGTCAAACTTCACTGGGGCCCCCACGGGTGGGAAAGGTGCTGTCAGCTCAGCGGTAAATGCAGGCATCTCTTGGGCTGGCCCTCCGTTCTTGCCTTTCTTAGCCCCATAGGCATGGGGGGGTTTCACTCCATCAATTCCCAGCCCCATATCTGGCAAATACTCTCCATGGGGAGGTGGTGTAGGGGGCATCACAGCTGGGGGCCCTGGGGGCCCTGGAGGGCCTGGGGGCCCAGGAAGGCCAGGCTGGCCTTGAGGCCCCAGGGCACCAGGCTTCCCTGGGGGGCCATGAAGTCCTGCTACTCCTGGCTTCCCAACTCCAGGGAACCCAGGGGGCCCTGGGATGCCCGGTTCCCCTTTAGGGCCTGGGATTCCAGGTGGTCCAATGGGGCCACTAGGGCCTACAATACCTGGGATGCCTGGGGGGCCCTGTAAACCCTGGTCCCCTGGGATTCCTGGTTCTCCCTTTGGTCCAAGCATCCCTGGAGCACCAGGGAGCCCTGGCAACCCTTTGTGCCCCTCTTCCCCCTTGGGCCCTATGGGCCCTGGCAAACCCCTTATCCCAGGGGGCCCCACTTCTCCAGGGAAACCTGGCTTTCCTGGGAAGCCTTGAAGCCCTGGCTCACCCTTGGGACCTGGTGGCCCCTGTGGCCCCACAACCCCACCTTCTCCTTTGGGTCCAGGAAAACCAATTGCTCCTGGAGGGCCCATAGGACCTGGGATTCCAGGCAGGCCTGGCTCTCCTGGGGGACCTCCCATTCCAGGGGCTCCTACTGGTCCTTTTTCCCCTCTTGGTCCCAGAGCCCCAGGAACGCCCCCTATACCCCTGTCGCCTTTGGGCCCTGGGAAGCCTGGTTTTCCGATTCCTGGAAGGCCCGGGGGTCCTGGCAGCCCAGGCAGTCCTTGCTCTCCTTTGCCACCTGGAAATCCTGGCTGGCCAGGGATCCCATCCTGGCCTGGTTTTCCAACTCCAGGAATCCCAGGAGGTCCTTGAACCCCTGGTATACCAATAGGGCCTTGTGGCCCAGGTTCACCTGGAGGACCTGGCTTTCCCAGGGGGCCCTGGGGCCCAGGGAAGCCTGTCACTCCCGGTTTGCCCACTCCAGGAAGTCCGACAGGGCCAGGAGGGCCATGCATCCCTGGAGGACCCTTTAGGCCTGGCAGACCTGGCATCCCGAAGCCTTTTTCTCCTTTAGGACCCTGAAGGCCTGGAGGTCCCGCTGGTCCTTTGGGTCCTCGCTCACCCTTTGCACCTGGTTGCCCTGGTAACCCTGGCCCACCTGGTTTCCCAATGCCAGGCAGTCCGTGAGGCCCTGGGGGTCCTTGTGGTCCTGGGATCCCCATGGGCCCGATCTCCCCTTTGGGTCCAATTTCGCCTTTTGCCCCAGGCATTCCCATGGCTCCTGGCTTTCCTGGCATTCCAGGCATACCTGGCTTTCCAATTCCGGGATATCCCTGTGGCCCTGGTTTTCCTTTGATTCCAGGTATCCCATGACCTGGTAAACCAGGGGGTCCAGGTGGTCCTCTTGGGCCAGGCTCTCCTCGGGGACCTTGCTCCCCTCGTAAACTAGCTAATGGTGTTTCTACTGGGAAAGGAGACGGGGGAGAGAGGGAGAGAGGGGGAGAGAGAAGGAGAGAGGGAGAAAGATATTAATATTGATTATCGTTCCCTTCAAGGGAGTCATGACAGTGATGATTTAGTTCTGGCACATTTGCTTGTTACTTATTAAGAGGAAAGACTAAGAATAATGTGCTCATCTTCCAGGACTGTATGTTATCAGTACTTAAAGGATAATCAAACTGACAATTTCTTTGACATAGTGTTTTTGAGAACTGATATCTGCTGCTATTTTTATCAGCATTGGTTAAGTGAAAAAAAAATACTTCGAAAATAATAAACATTTTTCTCAGTATAAAATTATTATGTTGTGTTTATTGTAGAGAATTTAGAAAATTCAAAGAAAGGTAAAGAAAAATTAAAGTTGCCTATAAGCCCACTACTCAGATATAATCGCTTGACATCTCATGTTCTAGGGGGGTGTGTGTGTGTGTGTGTGTGTGTGTGTGTGTGTGTTTTAAACAATATTAGAGTCATTCTTCATTTTAATTTTTCTATTTTTTTTTTTACTATTTATTGTTATTGTATTTTTCCATGTCCTTGATTTTTTAATATAATAATTTATGGCAAAAATATTTCCTCTTGTGCAAAAATACAGTATGATGTGGATGATGACAGTCATCATGTGGACTTGGGGAAGAATTGTAGTATTTTATTTTGTTTGTGATTTAATAACATCTTCCACATCTGTCCTCTAGAGCAGTGGTCCCAAACCTTTTTGGCACGAGGGACCGGTGCTCCTATGAGACTCTAATGCCTGATGATCTGGGGTGGAGCTGAGGCGATGGGGAGCAGCTGCCAAAAAGATAAAGCTTTGCTCACTTTGCCACTGTTCACCTTCTGCTGTGCAGCCTGTTTCCTAACAGGCCACAGACCAGTACCTGTCAGCGGCCTGGGGGTAGAGTATAGATTTGCTTAATTTATTTAATGTGCTGTAGGATTTCCTAAGGCTCAGACATTCATTCTTTAATATGTTTTTTTCCCTCATTTGCAAATTGGTCAGCATCGGTTAAGTAAAAAAAATCTTAAAAGGAATAAAGGAACACTTTTCCAAGTATAAAGCTTGGAGATATTATGGTGTGTTTACTATAGAAGTGAATAACATATTTTAGGGTTTTAGGATAACAAGAAATGTGGATATGGAATACAGCTAGGATTAGGAGTAAGAAGCTAGCTTCTCTTCCTGGCTTTGAAATGAGATCTTGATTGGGTCACTTAAGCCATCAGTGTCTCTGCTTGTCTATCTGTATAGTGAGAATAATACAGTCACTACAAGATTAGGTAATAGGTATGAAAGGTGTTACGCTTTCGAATTGTTATCGAAATACAAAGCATATGATATTATAAATAATTATAAACACAACTCTGAATCTCCCATGCTGCTGGGAGTAATGGATAATGTAAAGAAATGAAATTTATGTTCTCAAAGTCATTTCAATCAAAGGCTCATCTTAATCATGACCATTGCATTTTTCACTGAGCTACTGTCAGGAACAAAATGGAACCGTAGAACTCATATTCTTTCCAAATTCCCTGATTGAAATCTGGTACCCATTTGAATAAGCGCAAAAAGTGCCAAAAGCCATGCAGGCCATTCAAAAAAGGAAGGAAAACAAATGGCCTAGATAATCCCCATAGTGGAATATCAGCTCCTAAAGCAAAGAAAATTGGGAATACTCCTTTCATGCTAATAGATATTATGAAAGTACTATTAAGGCATGTAATTTCTAAGCAGTGAATTGGGTAGCTATTGTATCAAGGGAATATCTGGGGCAGGGTCACATCTTATTCATCAGAAATGCTTTGTTTTTAACACAGTGCCTAGAACTTACTCTGTTCTTACTTAGGGTTTGTTGTAGGGCCAGCTGCAACAATTCAAAGTTCTTATAGTGTTTTAGCATTTACCTGGCACTTTTACTGATTTTATTGATTCTCTCAACGATCTTACATTACAGAAGAAGAAAAGTAGTTTCAGAGAGGTTAAATGACTAGGTCTCCCTCATTTCTGGCTTCTAGGCTTTCAAGTCTCTGAGTGCCAAATCCAGCAGTTTTCTAGTAGTGGAATTTCCTGCTTTTGCAGGGACCAGTGAAGTGGCCTCCACTTCATCAAAGGGAATTGCTACTCTGATGCAGTACCTTTCCTGCAAATGCTAGGTTTCCTAGAACACCAGATAAACTGACTGAATTTATAAAAAAGCGTTGCTCACAGTGATAGACATTTTGTAGGTGTTGAATAACTAATAAATATGTCTAGGAAGTAATAGCAGAGATTTTCAGATATCATCTCTAGATGCAGTCTATGCTTCTTAATTTCCTTCTGTCGGTTTATTGATTGACATGTATAGTAACTTAATTAGAGCAGGCTTAAAAACACGTGCATTTATCTAGCACCTAGTTCACAAAATGCTTCCATGTGATTTTTTTTTTTTTTTTAAACACAGCAAGTCCTTACAACATTGCTTTTCTAATTCAGAACACTGATGGTCACCTTTCTTTTTTTTTTTTGTCACAGCTTTGTCTCCCGGCATCTGGTCCAGAGCCTGACACAAAAATAGATGCTCATCGAATAATTGCCGAGTGTTTGAATAAATAATAAAGAATGAGGAATAAACTCCTTATTATTAAATATGTCTTCTGTTAATGTTGATGCTGTTAATATAATAAAGCACCACATAAAATGGTAATTTTGTCTATATTTTTCTTTAAGGCTTAAACTTTTCCATGATAGAGTTTAGAACACAGTAGGCATTTAACGATCATCAGTAATGCATTCTGAAATAAAAATATCTAAAATTTAGCTCCTCCTCCACCTGATTTCATAGTTTAGGATTTTGGAAGGCAGTTGTTCTGCAACAGCACAGGAGTTTGATGTTACCTTTGCCTTTCTTGGGTGCTGCTTCCTTGCCCATTCTTGGCACCGGCTGAATTTCCTTCCTATACTGGGGTAGGTGTGGATACTCTTTGCCATACTGCATGTGAGGCAGCTCCTTGCCCATGGTAAGGCCATCTTTGCTCAAAGGCATGTGAGGTACTTGCTGGCCCAGGGGCTGGTATTGTGGAATTTGTGGTGGGATTTGAGCAGGAATTTGAGGCAGCGGCTTGATTCCATAGTAGGCACCAGCCTGAACGAGCCTGACGGAGCCCAGGGAAATGGTAAGTAGCACTCCCAGCAGCTGCAGAGGGGCAGGTGGCACAGCCATCACCTGTGGAAGAAAGGAATGTACCAACATGGTGAAACTGCAGGCCAAGTGATTGGAGTAAATTTAGAGAAAGAAACAACAACAACAACAAAACCAGTCTTTATTATCAGAACTTCATGAGTGGAAGACAAACGAAAAGGAAGATGTTACCTTTCAGTAGAAAGTAAAGAAATATCAAACAAACAAAAACCAGAAAAGAGTAGAATCTGTCAAAGGCAACTGGTGGGAATATAGATTATAGGAGAGGCTGCTAGTTGTCCTTGAATATCAATTCTGCCTTCTTCCATAATACTGCAGCCCTTGATTTTCAGCTGTAATAGAGCAGTCTGGAATAAAGACATTTCAGCCAGATGTGTCCATGTGACAAATTTCTGGCAAATTGGATATAGTTGTGATGGGTATAACTTCCAAAAAGGATCCTAAAGGGAAGTGAGTGTGTTCTTCTTCTGTCCTTCCTGCAAGATGGAATGTGAATATGTTGCCTGGAAACAGACTGGACACCTTGGACCATGAGGTGAAAGCTGTGTACTGGGTGGTAGAGCAATGAGCTAGGAGAAACCTCAGCCCTGGTTGAACTTGGAAGCACCATGATGATCTTTAAATCTGAAATTTGTTTATGCAAGAGAAAAATAAAGGTCTATTTTCTTTAAACCACTATTATTTTGGATGTCACACATTTGCAATAAACTTAATCCTAAGATAGAGTAGATTCTCCAAAAGGAGGCAAACTTGGCGGCAAGTCAGATTTTGTTAGTAAGTGCCAAAATTCTATTTTAAATGGAAACAGTTGATAATTTACAGGTTTTGTGCCAGAAGCTGAGATTTTTCATTTTCCAGATGCCCTTTGACTGCTACGATGTGGTCACAAATACATATAAATGTTAAAGAACAAACAAAGCTGCAAAAGTCTGAACTGGAAAGGTTTTTCATGTGGCAGTCCTAAGACGTCATTATAAATATCACTATCATAATTTTGCACATGTGGGGATACCATTTCTTTCTTCTGTTCTAATACTGTGAAGTCATTCATTTATAATTTGGCTAATTGGCTCTAGAGTCCATTAAACTTTATCTTTGTACTATTGCGAAAGGAGTTTATAAAAACAATTAAGTTGTATAAATAAGATGGATGTTTAATTACTCATAATAAACTGTTTCTAAGCTCTTTAATAATACGCTTTGCAAATTATCAGTTAATAGAATAAATATAAAGGGAGCTTACGTATCTGTTTATGAAAACTAGTTTGGAAAGACTTTGGAAACGCCTAGGGCTGAAAACTCAACAGCCCAGGGAATTGCAGTGTTCTCAAATGCCACTAGAGGGCAGGCAAGTGTGGTACACATCGAAGTCTGTGCTGTTACTCTTCCCCTGTGCAAACACCAGGTACTTTGCTCTCACGCCTTATTAAGGGACTTAATGAAAATCTGAATCCTGAATCCTAAATGGACTGTCATCATAATGCTGGGGAGGGTGTGTGTGTGTGTGTGTGTGTGTGTGAGAGAGAGAGAGAGAGAGAGAGAGAGAGAGAGAGAGAGAGAGAGAGAGAGAGAGAGAGAGAGAGAGAGAGAGAGAGAGAGAGAGAGAGAGAGAGAGAGAGAGAGAGAGAGAGAGAGAGAGAGAGAGATTCACAAATTTTAATGTATCTTCTGGAAAACTTAATTAAATAAACTTCTGTCTATAAATAATTCAATTCCCATTCTCCTGACAGTTTGTTTTCTTTGCTTCTGCCTTACTTAATTCCGAAGCATAGTTTTCCACTTCTTAGAAAATGTGCGTTGACTTTGCAATATCCTACTTAAAAGTAATGCCAAGAATGTGAACAGGCTACAGAAAAATTATTTTAACAAAAAGCACCTAAGAAAATATTTAATTAAAGAATACCCACCACAAAATTCATTGCTTTACAATTTTTCTAAATATACTAACTAATCATATTTTTTTTCCTGCTGGAGAAAAAATAAATATCTGCCAGCAAAATGATTTGTAAAACTTTCTCCATTTCACAAATCAGAATAAGTCTCAAGAACTATTTATTTCAAGTGTACTCTAAATAATTTATGTACTGGTAAATGGGAGAAGATAGAAAGCTGTTATTTTCTGTCCTTGTAAGAATTAATTGTTGTAAACCTTTTGGATAAAATTAATACTGATTTATACACAATAATAGTCAAATTTATTTTGAGTGAAAAAAGAACATCTGCTATAAGTACTTAATGATAATCTATTGAGTACTGACTAGAAACAATGCTAGAGTCATCTGAAGATTGCAAAGATGAACGTAATATGGGTCAGTGGGCCCTGCCCTCAAGGAGCTTCTACTCCTTTAGTAGGAGTGACAGATGTGTAAAATATTAATGAGTAGCAAAGAATATTCAGGAAAAATGTGAATTTTCCTTCCACTTCTGTTCTCCAGTATCTAAAAATCTCCTTCCTTTGAATCAACAACTTTTCTCATTTTATGCATATGTTTCTAGAGATATTCTGTGAATACACACATACAATACACACCCCTTTAAGATACAAATTATAGCATACTATGCACACCACGTCCTTACTTTTTTCGCTCAGAAGACCAGAACTTTGGACTTTATTTCTCATTTTGCTTATGTGTTTCTGAACAGATACTTTTAACTCCTTCATTTGTTAAAAATATGACTCTATTGTTCTCTAAAGTGCTGTCCGGCTCTAACCTTCAGTGCCTCAAGCAGTCACTAGAGAGCCGAAAGTGTTAATCCATACCAGAAATATGTAGTAATACCTGCTAATGTATAAGCTGGGACTTAATTCTACCTTTGGGGATATATTAATTTAATTATTAAACCCTAAACTGATGGTAATGTCTTTAATAATAAGCTGGCATGCTTTGCCCTTCACTCTTTCATCAATTCGGTAAATGTGTTGGATTACACTTAATAATCCTTAAACCAGGACAACCTAATGAAATACCAGAAACCTGGAAGGAGGCAAAATGCCTGGAAGAATACCGACTGAATATTAAATGCCCAGTGGAATCCTTCTTTACTACAATTATTTCCTCTCTATGCTTAACCTTTCTCTCCCAGAAACTACCTCCTTCTGTCTGCCATCAGTCTTTTCTCTAACATTTTATTTAAGTAAACATTGTTCAGTTTTAACTTGAATATTTATGCAGGGGCCCTGGTTAGAATTTATTGCTTTATTTATCCTTACCAATTTTACTCTTGTCCCTGAGGATATTTTTGGTGGTCAAAGTGGTGTGGTGTTTCTCCCTAAATCACTTGAAAAAACATCCAATTTGTGTAGCACTATATAAACACCTGGTAAGAAGGAGGAGTTTCAGAATTCTTAATGAGAAGAAATGGGGAAAGTGGATTTTCTTGCTTCCTTTTCCTTTTTCTGAGGATGCAGAACACAATAATGTTTTGAGTTCTATTTGATAGTTTTTAAAAATTTCTGTTTGATAATGTGTGTGAATATACATAAATATAAATGTATATAATGTGTGTGGACACTGCCAGCCAAAATAGCTTAGTGATGGGTGTCATGTCATAGAAAAGCATCATAGACACCAAAAGACCTGGAGTTAAGCTGTAGCTGTGATTTTTTGTGTCTATGACCTTGGGCAAGTCTCTTAACTTCACCAAGCCTCTGTTTCTTTACCTATAATATAGAAATTATAATCTCTGCCTCTCCTGCAGAGTTATTCAAGAGCACAAATGATAATATGAATTCTTCGTGAGCTGAAAAACACTATTTAAATTTAAGTTATTATTAATAAAGTGTGAGCAAAAAGACAAATGAAAACGAACTGAAAAGTCAAAGATTTTCAAACAAGGATATTAGCCAAAGTAAATCTGAGGTTAGCTGCAATAATGATACGCTTAACATGAATAAAACACCAATGGCCATTAATGTACA